TTCTTTGTGCCAGCAATTTGCTTGCCTTATTCCCTTGCACGTAATGGTTTATCTTGAGCTTCTGCATGTGTGCGCTGAGTGTCTCAAGTGCGTGTTGGTGCATAAGGCGTGTGAGCTGGGTTATTTTGTGTCTTGTCTCTGGTGTTGGGGTGTGTTGGTTAAGTCTGTTTAAGTTATACAGCTCTGCCTGCCATTTTCTGAGTTGTGTCTGTTGTGTCCTTTTCACATAGGCTGCCCTTCTGATCAATAGGCCCCTCGACACTGTCTTGTGTGCTAGCCATAATGTGGAGTCTGAGACATCCCCCGTGTCATTATTATCGAAGTATGTTTGGAGGTCTTCCTTTAGAGTTTGTGCGTATCCCTCGTCCCTTAACAGTGAATTGTTTATTTTCCACGGGCTGCGGTGTTTAAAGTCGTAGATGTTTTTTAGTTCTATAGTTACTGGTGCGTGGTCTGACCACGTAATCTGCTGTATGTCGCTATCAACTAGTTGGTCTAGGGCCGATCCCGCTATGAGAAACCCATCTATTTTGGAGTAAGAGTTGTGCACTGCTGAAAAGTGGGTGTACGCCCTTTCTGTAGGGTGCGTGACCCTCCAGGCGTCATAGAAATGTTGGGCATGGAGTAGTTTTGCTATGGCTCTACATTGTCTCTTCAGGGGGCGGTGATGCTTGCTACGTGCATGTAGGGTGGTGTCCGTAAGCGGGTCAAAAATGTGGTTGAAGTCCCCTCCTATAATCGTGATGCCCTTTTGGGTTTTGGCTGTCTGGTTTAAAATTTTTTGCAAGAAATTCCTTTGATTAGTATTTGGGGAGTACATGTTCACTATGGTGTATAGCATATCGTTAAACAATCCCACGAGTATGATATATCTACCAGTCGGATCTATGTCTACAGTCTGCAGTGTGAAAGAGACCGTTTTGCTGATGAGGATGGATACTCCCCTAGCTTTGGTGGGTGCCGTGGCGTGATACTGGTGTGGAAAGTCTTTGGTTAATATTGCTGGGTAGTCGTTGTGCCTGAAATGGGTTTCCTGGAGACATAATATATCTATCCCCATATGTCTAACCTCTCTAATTAGAAGGTGGCGTTTTACCGGAGCATTGAGGCCCCTAACATTAAAGGTACAGAGCTTCACGGTGGTCTGTGAGGTTTGTGTCTCTCATACCTATGGAATTGGTCAATGTATGTGGGGGTCGCTGCCCTCCCCAGCTCTATCGAGCGGAGCAGTGAGTCCCTCTGTATGTTCATTATTGTGCCAGCGTGGCCTGCGGAACAGTCTGAGTACCGGTTGTCATTAGGTAATTGGGATATGTCTTTGGTGGCTGGGGTCGAGTCACCCACTAACCCTTTCCCCGCCTCTTGGGTAAAGCATTGGACTGGTGAGGTACATGCAATACATAGAACAACATATAACAGAACATTAACATCAACAAAAGTATTTACAAGGGTATTCCTAAGGAATATATGTACCATAAATTTGGCGTGGCACTGCGTTGTCGTGCCTTGGGGGTAGAGGCGGAAGGCCTCACGTCCTTTGGGAGCTTTCTCCCTTTACAGCTAATACTTATGTGAATGTTGGGATGTCCCAACTAGTATTCTTAGCCCTGCTGCTCGAGCTGCAGTACTGTCTATGCTTGTGTGGTGGTGAGCTATCTACTTGTATATTTTTTTATTTTTTTTTTTCTTTAAGCTAGGTGTGGGTGAAGGTTGACATGTGGCTGCCCCACCGGCAATCTATATGTCTTTGGGTGGGTGAGTCTGGCTGGAAATACTCGCTTCTATGTAAGTGATGGCGGGGTTTTTTTTTTTTTGTATAGATAGTATGTGGGTAGTGTTGTTGAGGGACCCAAGCTCGTATAATAAAGCGAGGCCCCCCACCTATTACTATGCCCTATCGTGAGCATTGCAATTGCTCAGTGTAGTTGGTGTATCATTGTACGTTACCCTGCCCCTGGGTTGATAGTCCATCACCCTGTGGTGCCGTAAGGCCTGCACACAGTCTTATATGCTTCATCTCCGTTTCGCCTTCTTCCAGTCCGGTGAGGCTCTGTTGCCACTTCTTTCTTGCTCAGCCATCTGTGTGGATGCGATGTTCCAGTCCCTTAGGATACGGTGGCCTTCCTCCGGGGATCCTATCGTTGTGGTCCTCCCGTCCCGCATCACCAGGAGCTTGGTGGGGAATCCCCATCGGTATGGGAGATGGTTGTCTCGGAGCAGAATGGTTATATCCCTGAAGTCGCGCCGTCTCTTTAAGGTGTATGAGGATATGTCTGAGTAGATGGTTGTACCTCTGTATTGTGCAGGCATTTCCTTCCGTTTTCTGTTTGCATTCAAGATAACTTCTTTAGCGTGGAAATAATGCATTCTGAGTAAGGTATCTCTCGGCGTGTCTGGGGGTAAGAATTTCGGTCTGGCGGTCCTGTGAATCCTGTCTAGCAGGAGCAGGTCAATTGGTAAGTCTGGAGCAAGTGCTTTTAGTAGGCCCGTGACATGGGCGTTGAGGTCTTCATTTTTAACCGTTTCTGGTATCCCCCTTATGCGGAGGTTGTTGCGGCGTGCCCTGTCCTCCATATCTGCTATCTTAAGATCTTGGTCATTTAGTCGTGCGGCCAGGCCGTCAACGGTTTCTGCAAGTGCGTTGTGGGCTTCCGCCATTTCTGTGATTTGTTCCTCCGTCCGCGCTGTGCGCTGGCCTATATCTTGAAGTTCTTTTCTTAGGGCTGTCATAGCACTGTCCATTTTTCCCACTATTTTGTCTGACATTTCGTCCAGCAGTTTCTTTAGGGAGCTGTGTGTCAGCGGGTTGTCAATTTCCCCTTGCACGTTGATCCTGTTTTTAAGAAGCTGAAATAAGTTACATTTTATTTAAGACAGAGAGTGCAGCCATCTACTTTTACACTATATTATATATATATATGATATTTTATAAATTACATTTACTCTCCTACTTCCTGATCTTAGCCCAGTACTAAATAAATACATTTTTAAAGTTACCCATGACTGGGCTCAATGAAAAAGGGAATTTCAAGCTTTTGGTCTCGTGACTCAAATAAAGGCACCTTACAATACACTGTTAATTATTCTGTGTTCATTGGTATTTCATTATATTGTTGTGCCCTCATTGTGTCATTGTGCCCTCTTAAATTAAAAACAAAATGGCAGCTGCTATGTAGAGTTCAGTTTGTACTTCATTGTTCCTACTAGAATACAGGCTGCGTTCAGATCTGAGACGGAGGCTCAAAATTCCACACGTGTGAAGCAAAGTCCTGTTTAAGCATCAAACTTTGACATCACCCTGTGGGTGATAAGGTGTGGTTCTGTATGTCACTTATGGGGATTCATTCTGAATTTGTATTTTAAATCCTGACTTCTTTTTTTTTTTCCAACACAATTTTTTTTTTTTTTAATGTATGATTTGTTCTTGTAATTTGCCATAATTTTATGTTTGAATAAAGATATATATAAACAGAGTGTGTGAACTTTTTTCTTTTTACATATCTGCTAAACTGTTATTGTCATGTTAACTGATGCGAGCTAGTATGCTTTTAAAAATGCAAAACAGAAATAAAGCAAGTTTTGTTTTCAAATAACATAATACTCATAAGAGCAAATCAAATGAATGAAGTAAAACCATATGCACTTAAAATAACAAATGGCCACTGGTGACCAAACCATTTTAACTGCTTAAGGATGGAGGCAATTGTACAATTTCTGACCAACAGAATCTGAGCTATGTGTATGTTCAATAATAATTTACCTCTATTAATAAATACAACCACACTTATTATATATCATTTTGTTCAGAAGAAACAAAACAGGGCTTTAATTTCACATCAAGTATTTTTATGTAAA